AGATACTGTAGCACCAAAACACTATTCTTAGATGTATTAAAAGCAGGTTTTATAGTGGCCGGTGATGTTAAGCTTTTTGTTTTTGGCTAAAGTGCGAACAGCATTCTCACCAGCAGTCCTTTCTGAAAAAGAACATGACAAAAGAGAGAACAACATGTATTTGTCACATTTCCAAAAGGTTAATTAATGATGAAAAGATTGCAGCAAACAGGTTTTTTTAATTGTTCTTTCTTTCTTGGTGAATAAAACCCATTATTTATGTCCTCTTTTTTTCTGGTTTCGGCTTTGTTTTCCTGTTGTTTTGACTGATGACTGATAAGTAGTTTGACCAATAGCATGCAGGCATTGAATATATTCAACCAATCATGAGGACAAAGAATGTTGGCTTTACAGAGCCATCAAAGCAATGCAAAAAACATCAGGGGTGCTTCTCAAATGGAAGGACGCATCCTAGTAAGTCTGCATATTTAGGCTGCAATGCCATAAAGCTGGCATTGCCATAAAGCTATTTGAAGAATGTCTCAAATAGAAGGATCCTTATAGCAGCAGTCTTTGTTTTGCATCCTTCATTTGGCCTGTTTTTAAGGATGCATCAGGTGTATCCTTCGCATCCTTTGATTACCCGCAATCTTAGTAAACCATTAGACTTGATCTATATATACAGATCACTTACCAACCTCATGTACAACAGGCTGCTTGCATTTCAATTATAGGCCACTACTATCAATTTTTGTGTCATGAGCCAACTACAGACACTTGTCTTGAAAAAGGTTGCTAACAAGTGTCTAAATGGGACTACAGTGGGGGTGTTAAACATCATGACACTGAACAGGTAAACTCATCTAATATAGTCACTTTCACAGCCTCACCATTTCTTGGATTTGTGTGTAAAGTTTTGAAAAAAAGAGACAAAGTGTGTGTAAGCAGTTGAAAAAACTGTAACGTCTGACGGCACCCATTCACTGCAGAGGATCCACTGGTGAGCAAGTGATGCAATGCTACATTTCTCCAGTTCTATCCCCATGAAGAAACAAATTCATCTTGGATGGCCTGAGGGTGAGTACATTTTCCACAAATAATGAACCTTTATTTTTTAGAATATGGCTCATATTCTGGATGGAGGGGAAAAAAAGGAAGAATATCACACCTATGTCATTAGATACAGCCACATTGTGGCTATCATATAAGAACTGATAATAATGTGTGTAATAATGTGTGATGTACGCTACATTAAAGGAATGACATGCCAAGGGATTTTGTTCGATAGCAGGTTTGAAAAGGTCAGACTGAATTAGGTGATGGTTTGCTTCCAGCTGTCCTTAATGGGGTGTCGGTTAGAACACAGTGAATCGGATCAGTTCCATGCAAAGGGAGTTTTATTTGGACAGTTTGGGCAGTACACAACACAGCAGTTTTACAGGCTTTTTGTGTGGTATTTGTTTATCAATGCACACTCTGCACACACAGTCCCCCACGCACAATCTACTGAGTCACCATCTCTTCCGCTGACGACTGACGGAATCAACGCACGCGCGCAGAACTCGGCCTTTCTAACAGATTTAATTAAGATGATAAACCACCACTGAAATTCATTATGTGTAACAAGTTAATCACACAAACTTTCAGTGTCTGATTTATAGTATGTCATAACCATATTTGGATAAAAATAGATTTGTTGTCATATAAAGTGTTCTATTAAGGCTTGTCTATAGAAACACTACTGAGAGGCTCAAAGTACATCAAGATGTCAGACTTTGTTTTTCTGACTAATGGCTGCAGAGCCGATCCTCCCTGTAAGCAAAATATGCAAGCTGCGTAGGGCCCCCGAAAGATTCGAGACGGGGTGAAATACAGACAAATGCGTTTCATTCATTCGTTCATAACCACTAACAGAACAGAGATGCTAGCTAAGAATGCTAGCTACATAAACTACTGAATGTAGCTTTAATCTGCAAACACAACAGAGAAACCAGTTAGTAATTAGTGCAAATTTGTTTACTTAGTTTAACCCATTTTGAGCTTATTTAAAATTGTTTGTTTCTTTTTCATTAACAATTTGGATTCCTACAAAATTCTTCAAGAAACAAGATTTAGGCAGTTTAAAAAAAAGAACAACATTTTTATTATTTTATTTTTTATTTCATTTTCATTTTTGGCATCTATGCAAATGCTTCATTTAAGCAACCTGGTGTGCTGTCAAAAATGAATTTGCACAGTAGAAGCTGAGAAATGAGAGAAGAGTAAAAATAACTGACTGCTTGCAACTCCATTATAAACAGAGAGGAGGTGCTTGTGTTGTGCTAACTCTACTTTTTTTTTTAAAGTGGGTGAAAAAATTAGGAATAACTGTGTGGTTTGAATTTATTGCTCTAGTGGCCTTGACTGAGAAACTTTCTGTCCTTTCGCTTGTCATCACATGCATTCGTTTTTGGTTAATTGCAGCAATGCTACATTCATTAAGGGAAATCAGATGGAGACAGGGATCTGTATTTTATTTTAGAAGATTTAAAGCTGACTTTCAGAGAGTGATGGTTGTGTTTTTGTGGGCACGGTGTCCATGTGGAGAATATCTCCAGAGCGGAGCTGTTTATGACACGGATCAGCAGAGTTTAATGAAAATCAGGCCAGGCTATGGGCTGACCGCTCTGTCTTTGTCTGTGTGCTCTGGTCCTTGTCTTTCCCTGGCACTTGGGTCTGCCTATGATAGCAGCCAATTCCACCCTGGCTTCTGAGGTTTTGGGATGCTTGGCTTCAAGTGACAAGTCTGCGCTGTACTTCTCCCCACTTCTGGCTTTCAGTGTCTTCTCTCATTCTTGGATAGTTTGATTTAAGAATTATAGACAGAGACACAATAATTATCCCAATGTTCTCAACCACTGTGTTGTTTTAACATTTAGGCTGATGTTCTCACAAAACATTAAAACATATACAGTATCTCACAGAAGTGAGTACACCCCTCACATTTTTCTGTCCTGTTAAACCACTGTATGGTCTTGGCCACCGTGATGCAGCTCAGTTTCAGGGTCTTGGCAATTTCTTTATTGCCAATTATTTTTATAGCCTACGCCATCTTTATGTAGAGCAACAATTCTTTTTTTCAGATCCTCAGAGAGTTCTTTGCCATGAGGTGCCATGTTGAACTTCCAGTGACCAGTATGAGAGAATGAGAGCGATAACACCAAATTTAACACACCTACTCCCCATTCACACCTGAGACCTTGTAACACTAATGAGTCACATGACACCGGGGATAGAAATGGCTAATTGGGCCCAATTTGGAAATTTTCACTTAGGGGTGTACTGCGAACAGCATTCTCACCAGCAGTCCTTTCTGAAAAAGAACACGACAAAAGAGAGAACAACATGTATTTGTCACATTTCCAAAAGGTTAATGAATGATGAAAAGATTGCAGCAGATTGCAGTTTTTTTAATTGTTCTTTCTTTCTTGGTGAATAAAACCCATTATTTATGTCCTCTTTTTTTCTGGTTTCGGCTTTGTTTTCCTGTTGTTTTGACTGATGACTGATAAGTAGTTTGACCAATAGCATGCAGGCATTGAATATATTCAACCAATCATGAGGACAAAGAATGTTGGCTTTAACATTGGCTACCAGAAATCGCTTACTCTGCCTTTAATGCATCAAATTCACAATGCCTATGGCAATACCATAGTAACACGGTGGCAGTTGACATGTCTTCACAGGTGAGGAGAACATTGTATTAAACTTGGCACAATTAAAGCATTACTCATGCATTAGCTATGATTAGTTTTGCAAGTGTGTATGTTTATGAAATCACTGGTTTGACAAAAAAGAGGCCCTATTGAACGTGTTAACAACTGTAGTTCTTAGTTATTTGGACAGATCCTCTCGTTGTGGCTACTGTTGCCAGGGGGGCAAATATTTCTTGTTCCATCTTTTTATTGATGTATAGCCGCCCCTCTGCTGCTGATGAGTCAGACTATCCCTCCTGAACGCCTGACCAGCACAGCTGCTAACTTTAACTTGTTTCTTACCTACTGAGGGAGGGAGAAATCAAGAGCGAGACTCTTAAAGGGACAGTCCACCCAAAACATCACCCTCATGTCATTCCAAACCTGCTGTATGCATTTCTTTTTGAAACACAAAAGAAGCTATTTTAAAGAATGTTGGTAAACAAATAGTTTTGGGTCCAATTGACGTCCATGACAAAAAACGATGGGACCTGGTCACCAACTTTCTTCAAAATATCTTTATTTGTGTTCAGCGGAAGAAATAAATACAGTTTTGAAATGACATGAGGGTGAGTAGCTAAACGATGACAGAATTAGAATTTTTTGGGTAGACTATCCCTTTAAACACAAAACATTGCGATAAATTCATACATGGTCATTTAAACGATAATATTCATTCTATCTGAGTTCGGCGATAGTACAAGGCATCTTTGCAATGATAATCTAAATAAAACTACTTAAAAGTGCTTCACATGTTCAGATTAGTTTTGTCCTCCTTGTACAGTTTTGGTAAGTAAGGTTTTGCTTGTATGGGATTATTTCTTTTCACAGTTTGTTCTATTATGACTCTCTCTAAATGTATATTTATGGAGAAATAAGTCAAATAATATGAAAGAATAACAAGCGCTCTTCCTGACATGGGAAAAGTGTTGCCCATCTTGGGTAATAATAAGCATTTGGCGCCCTCTGGTGAACATTTTTCCAAATGTATTGATCTATTTATTCTAATCTGCCTCGTCATAGCTGCGTTCCTTTCTAAACAATTTAAATTAAATTCTAATTCACTTTCCAAATGACTTGATTCAAGAGAGACCCGATAATCACTAAAAAAAATCTTAACATGAGCATAAACTGCAAAATATGCATTTTTAAAAAATAAGTCACTGAAACAAACATACGATAGACTGAACAATTTGGTGTAGTTTTTTCTTTGAAACAATTTTCACTGACATTGCTAGTAAACTTCACAAATAATTACAAAGAAATGGCAAGTAATACACTGAATTAAATGTGAAATTTTCAAGTACAAAAACTGAAATAGTATTATCTATTTTTACAGTGTATGATCTGATAACAAAACAATGATATTTAAGGCCTATAGGAAATCTCTTATGATATATTCAAGTGGGAATAAATCAGGCATCCCTTTTTCTACATATACGGCAGACCAACCCTCATGTGTTTGACATCTGGTATCTGATTGAACCATGAACCCATGAGAGTTGTTGAACTGTGATGTTTATGCATGCGCCCTGCCATGTCACCATCCAATAAATTAGACAATCATTTACCAGTGTTCTCCATACAAAATATTTATATACTGCTTGGAGACCGTTTATTGTGTTCATTTTGCACTCACATTAAAATTTTAACACTGTTAGATTTTAACACTAATATTATGCATGATCCTACTCACTATACAGTATGTAAAATATAATGACTCCTTGTCCTCAGTTTTATGTGTTTATCAGCAGAGGTCATACGTATATAAAGTTATTCATGTCTGTTTAACTGAGGACCTTTATACATGTGGTTAAAGGCACGTGTGGACAGTTGGCATGGCGAGACTGTTGGACATTTCTCTTGGCATGTCTGCTGCTTGTCCATGTGTGAAGACCTCAGGCCCGGTGTGTGTGGGTAGCAGGGGATCTTCAGACAAAGCTGCTGCATACAAAAGATCAGAATGACAAAAGTGACATTAATAATCCAATAGGCTATATACCTAATGACGTAATGAAGTAATATTGAATTGAAAATGCTTTGAAACTATGTATTGTGAAAAGTGCTATGCAAATATAAAGCAGCTTGTTTCTGCCATGCAAAAAAATAAATAAATTCAAAAATGACCTTTTATCTCAAAATACTGACTTGAAATATTACCAATTGTGAGAAAAAAGTCAGAATTGCGAGATGTTAACTTGCAATAATGAGAAAAAAGTCGCAATTCATTTTTTAAACTTATTTATTATGTGGAGGAAACAGAAAACGGAATTACAAGATGTAAACTCGGAATTTCAAGAAAAAAAAAAAGTAAAGATAGAGAGAAGTAAATTCAGAATTCTGATACATTTTTTTAACTGTGAGATATAAAAAGTCTGAAGTGTGAGATAAAAAGTTGCAATCACCTTTTTAATTTAATTAATTAATTTATTTTTTATTTTGTGGCGGAAACAAGCCACAAATTCCATGCAAATAAATTTGAATTTAATTGAAGTTAATAAATAATGTAAGACAGTAGAATATGTGCCTATAAATTAGAATTACATCAGTACAAAAAAATAAAAAAAATTAAATATCTAGTATATATATATATATTACTATATTTAGGCCTATGGAAAACTGTCATTAATAGTTAAAGATTCCAGCTTTTTTAAGCCTTATACTTCCTTATACTTATCATATGTCTTTAAATCACTTGGAATATAGGTCATGGGTCATATGGGTTATTTTTATGCACTGTAAGAAAAGCAGGGACTTTTCTTACACTGAAAAACATCTTGTGTAGGATTTACTTTGAAACTATTTTCACTCAGAAATTGCTAGTGAATTTCACAAGCAATTACATAAAGTATACTCTTTTTCAATAGTGTTGGGCAGTATGCTCTATAATTATAGCATCCTATCGTCAGCCTGTGAGATCGCCAATAACGATATTATTGCGCTAATGTATTTAATTATTTACTCTTAGTTTCATAGCTGGAGAGTGAACCAACTCAATGGTACGGCTAAAAGCAGCCTAATGTTAGTGTAATCTATCTTTTTATTCAAGTAGCATATGGATGTCATAAAATATTTTTAATCACAATTTAATAAAAACACTGTAGGCCTAAGTTACTAATTATAATGCTTACATTTCCTCAGTTATTCAAACAGCAGCTACATAAACGCAAAGAACATTTACACAGACTCGCGTTATAATCAGTGAAGCCGTCTACACTGTATAATTAATAAATCTTTTATAGGCTACTTACATCGCACGTATATCTGCACTTTGTTGTTTATGATGAGAGAATCTGCGAGTAAGCAGTGAACAACAAAACTCTGGTGTTTCAGCTATGACTCATCTGAACGCCTCTGTTTCCGTTCATAAGCTCAACATAATCGTGTGTGATTGGTTTTATAAAACGGATAGTTTCCGGTCCTTGATTCTGATTGGTTGAGCCAAGTTCGAAGCTGTCTGTTGTAAATCTACAAACATACACCTTAGTTTACATTTGTGTGTTGCTCGGCAACCACTTTGTTGGAACCACAACTGTTTCTGAGGGACTACATTGTTTGGCGGAAGAATACTGTTTTTATTAATATCATTACACTTTATTTGCTCTGTTTTATTTTGTGAAACCTTACTACGTATATGGAATCACCATTTTATAAAAGCAATAAGCCCCGTGAAGCCGTGATTTACAGTGAATTTATAACAGCAAAAGGGCGTTGTTAGGTACGACGCGAAGCGGACGTATATGGAATAACCGTTTTATAAAAGCAATAAGCCCCGTGAAGCCGTGGTTTACAGTGAATTTATAACAGCTAAGGGGGTTGTAGGCACTCCGCTTCGCATCGTACCTATCAACGCCCTTTCGCTGTTATAAATTCACTGTAAACCACGGCTTCTTGGGGCTTATTGCTTTAACGCGCAACACTGTAAAAACCCAGAAAAAGAATTATGATGGAACAAATAAGCCCTAATATTAATTAGATAATAATACTAGCCTGATAACAATAATAATAAAAATATAATAATCGTCTTGCTTTCGTCAAAGGCATCAGCCACAGGCGATATCTCTATCGTTGATACACAATACTATATTATACTATCGTCTATCGGCACAACCCTACTCTGCAAGAAACATGAAATTAAAAATGCAATTTTGAAGTAAAAAGACTGAAATTGTATTTTCTTGTAAAATGTACTCCAGTAATCTTTTTTTTTTTTTTTTTTTTTTTATGGAACATCTTCGAAAAAATATTTGTTTACAGTATGATGTTCAGTTTGACTGTTTGGGAGAAGCTCCTGGTCACTGCTTTCATCGTATGGAAAACAGCAGCGTAGACATGGAGGTAGAAAAAATCATATGCGTTTGATACGACATAGACTGTTGATTTTTGGGTGAACTACCCCTTTAAACTCTATAGGACTGACAGCTGGACTACCTGTGCTTGAGATACTCACATGAGGGTACAGGAAGGATCACGGATGTGAAGTTAGGCATTGGGATATGCTCCATCAGTATTCCTCTGGAGAGGACAGACTCTGTAGCTGTGGTGAATATAAGTGGCTCAGGATTTGACTCTACAGAAAGGCAAAAAAAAAAAAAAAAAAAGTTACTGTTTTATTCCATTTCCAACCTGTTCATACTTTAACTGCAGGTAAGTCAGAAAGAGCCCACATTCCCTCAGAGAACCAATGGTGCGTCTTATCTAAAGCCCGAGAGCTTAGACTGAGACAGATGGACTCTGGACTGAGATCTCCTATGGAATCTTAACCAGCTCTGAGTTCACTGAAGTTTATGCTGGAGAAAGTCTACAGTATGTCTCTGGACCAACACTGCTCATCTAAATCCAAGAGTTTATATACTGATCCTAAATCAGCAGTATATGGCAACCCAGAGGAACATTTTATAGTTCAGGAGAGTTTATTGAATTCTCAGCTATCTTAGACTTTTGATCGAATTTTGTCTCATATGTTCCTCCTAAAATTCCTTGTGAAAAAATAAACATTGAGGAGAAACTATTTTTGACATACACTATGAATATAAAGCACTGGAAAAAGATTAATTGAATTTACTAAATTTTTTTAAGGTAAGTGGTTGCAATCAGTTTATTGTAGCTACATTTAAATAAACAAATTTAGTTGACTAACTTTCAAAATTTTTTTTTTTTTTTAAATGTAGCTAAAATAAATTGTTTGCAACCACTTACCTTAAAAAAATGTAGTATCCTTTTTTTAAGTGTATAGAGCTTTTAAAAAGAGTTCTTATGTAAATAATATACTTTAAAAGAATATACTTGAGTGCAAATTAACTATAATGTTTTCGGACACAATTGCTTGTTAACTGCTAAAATAAACATTATCTAAATTAACATGTATTATAGTTTATATTTATATTAAATGCAATATTAGATTGCCCTACTTAAGTAAGAGTTAAGTAAAAGCCATTTCATAATTGCTTCTATTGTCTTTGAAACATGGTAACTTGAGTTCTATTGAAACTTGTATGTCATGTATTTAAAAATACTTGTAATTACACGTTTGTAATGGTGCAATTTAGTACATTTAAAATACAGTAGTTTACATGTGATTTAGTATGTTAGTCATCAAAATAATTGCACCACAAAAGCACAAGAAAAGATTATTATCATGATTTTAAAACAATGATTTAAAATGTATCTAAAATTAATTTGATATAATTAAAAAGTGTGTTGACAAACAAGTGTATTAGGACAGAAATTTATTTTTAGTTAACTAATATTATATTGTCTGCAAGTTCAGTAAGTTTCAAAATGTATAAGCTTAAGATTTGAAGTATGCTACAAGTGAACATGTAATTGGCCTACAATTAAGTGCACTTCTTGAAAGCATATGATGAGAAATGGGTTCTTGATGAGATCTTTGATATTGAATTGCAGACTTTAATATCTTGGCAATCTGACCAGAGTCTGTGACATTGTTGAGATCTTTTTTACTGGAGACAAATGTAAGATTTTGTCAGGAGAAAAATCTGAGAAGCATGAGATGCAAATGTCTTAATCTGATCTCCATTTAAGCTCACGGATGGCTAGGAGGAATAATTGAGATCTCGTTTGTGATTTTGACATAGTTTTATACCTGAGGCTGGCAGTGCTTCAGATCCTCTGCTTGCTTCTTCTCCCAGGAGCATCTCCATCAGCAGGCTGTCCACACTGGCTTTGCCCAGGAGACGCATCAGCTGCAGCTGCTCCACCATCTGCCAGGCCACACTCTGGAGTGTGGTCAGCAACAACAACAGCTCCCCAAACCGGCCTCGCTGCTCGCTCGTGGCCTCATCCAGCAGCACCTGGGCCTGGAATCGCAGTCGGCGCACTGCCTGAGAGCACTGCAGTCCAGGACAGTCTGAAACACACACCGGGTTCAGTGACACTGAGAGTCCACTGAGACATGGATCAAGATGAGCTGAGACGGCATTCGTCATGTAGTGCACGGATTTGATAATCAAGATTTGTATGTGCATGTCTGTCTGTATTTCTGCGAAAATGTATATTTGAATAAGCAACAGACAGATCATTAAACACTTTGGACAGACAGCTGCAAATGGTTTTGGGGGGAAAATTCCAAATCAAGAATTGAAAGTAAGTCAGTTCTTCAGTTCTGAATTTTGTCCATCTCTTTTGTACAGTTTTTTTTCCATGCACTGTAAAAAATGAAAAGTTGAAGGTGTCTGAATTAAATTTTGGTTTGACATTCTGTAGTTTCTACGTTCATATGCCAAAATCAAAACTTGATTTTAAATGATTAAATAATGTTTAATTATGTTTTCTTTTTTTTTCTTGTGCAATGTTCCTTGATATATTTATTATTTTAAATATAAAATGGATATTTAAATGTAAATGTAATGTAATATTTTACATTTTAGATTTTCATGTTAGATCGTAGCACATGGGGAGAAAAATGTCAATCTCTGCTGAATCCAAAGTAAATTAAACAAAGCAATTCTTACTGACCAACCTGGCTCCACTCTTATAATCAGACCTCCAGGGCAACAGGAAAGGAAAGTCTAGAACTCAACACCAGCATGTCCCAGATATTAATAGATCCCCCATAAAACATCATGAAACCAAAAAAGACAGTACAACCAAAGAGTGCCAAGAACAAGTGCATACGCTCTTGGCACGGACAGTGTGTTTGACTAACCTGGGGCAAAGAAGACGATGGTTTTGAGACAGACAAATTCAGTGTCTGTGATGTTCAGCTCTTTCAGGGGTCTCACCAGCTCTTCCAGGATACGAGTGGCTACCTTGGACATCTCCTGCTCGGTGCCTCGAACAGGAATGATGAAGTCGTTTCCTGTACAAACACGGTATAATGACAAATCATGCTCACATTAAGGTTGCTACTTTCGAGTCAATACCTTGTGAGCTCTGTAACTTAAAAAAAAATCTTCTTTTTAAAGCAAGTATTTGTATGAATTACAGGTACTTAAAATGTATCGATTATAAATTTGATAACATTTATACAGTGACAATAAAGTGAACAAGATGGCAATGTAAATGAATGGGTGTAAATGAAGTCTCGAAATCAATGTTATTTTAGTATCATTAAGATACATTTATAGTTTTTTTTGTTTAATATTTTAAATTATTAGTATTTTTTGTTTTTATTTTATTTTAAGTTTTCATAATTTTGCTGTGTGTTTTTATTTTAAAATATATTAATATTTAAAAAATATACATTTATTATTTTAAATTGTAATTAAATTATATATATATTTTTATTTCGGTTATTTTAGTACATCAAGTTGTACAAGTTGTGCAACTAGCCGAAATAAAATATTAAATGTTTTTATTTATTCATAATAAAATATTACATTTATTTATTTATTTTACTTTATTTCATTTTTATTTTAAATGAGTTAAAAACAAAACTAACAAAAAAAAAACTTAAAAAAAAGTTTTAGTTAAATAATAACTCTGCTTGAAAACTGATTGTTTTTATAGGGTTTTATAGGCCTTTATCTTTTTTTTTTTTTCAACTCAGCAAATTTCACTTCATGTAATTCCAATTCAACTTCCTGTGGACAATTAATTTCTAATTCCAACTGTGCAATTTATTTCCTGGTAAGTGCAAATCCCCCTTTGCAGCCAATTTCATTGGTCAGCTGCATCATGCAGTCACCTTTCGAGAATAGTTCACTAGTTTTTGAGGTAAAAACGAATTAATATGATTTCCATTTTTTTTTAATAGTAAGTTTAATTTATGTATTTGAATCATTTATCTAATGCATACAATATGATTGGGACATGAAAAATGTAGTGCAAACAGGAATGGCCTGTTTTCAAGTGAACCCAACCCAGCCACCCGCTTACCCAGCAGGATGATGCCATTGAAGGGAAGTGAACGTCGTGCCACTCCTAAGATGAGGTGCTCAGCGGAGTGAGCTCTTAACAGTGCCACCTGCACACACACACACACACACACACACACACACACACACACACACATCAACACACTCATAGACAGGAACACGCGCACACACACACACATTATATATATATATTTGTGATAAAATATTTTGCAACATACTGTAGCAAATATATTTTTGGGCTAATATATATTTATATTATATATAATTATATTAGCAAAAAGATTTTTATAAAATATATATATATACATATATATATATATAAAGATTTTTTATATAGTATATCAGTCTGGTGAGTAAACTAAAAAATTAGAAAAATTAAAAAACTAAAAATCCCGTGGAGGGTTGTACTTCTGAAAAGCTCTAAATATTATATACTGAAAATATGGTTACACTTTATTTTAAGGTGTGCCTGTTACAGTGTAATAAATATATTTAAGTACTGAGCAATATTAATTAACTACATAACTACAACATTACATGTGTTTATAGCGCTCAATAATTGCCAATCCATCCTATTTTGGGTACAAATCTGAAAAAATAATACCTCTCTCAAAAGAAATGTTAAGCAGACATATAATAATCCACATTTTTTCCAGTGTGCAGAGGTTTATTTTGTACAGTTTTTTTTCCATGCACTGTAAAAAAAAAAAGATTTTCCAATTTTTTTTAAGTAAAATCGGAGCATGTTTTAGAAGAAAATAGTATTTAAGTTTTTTGTACTTTAAAATGTTTGTTAAATTTACTATTAATTTCAGAGTGAAAATGGTTTATACACCATTTTTTAAAAATGACGGTCACTTCCTGGTTAAGAATGTCATTAAGGCTATTGTAAGGTAGCAGGATGGAAATTATTTACACAGGTAACACATACTGTATAAAATAATTTGCAAATGAAATTTTCAAGAAAATGTATTGTGTTTAAATTACAGAAAAAAATGCCAAAATATGTTTGTAATATATGCTAAATATTTGTTGTAAACAGTAAAGCTCAATGAAATATATTTTTGAAATTATAATATAATATTGAAATATATGTAGTTTCTATCTCCATATGCCAGAATCAAAAATCATAGATTTATAATTAGGGATGCACCGATACCGATACTGGTATCGGTATCGGGCCCGATACTGGCCTCCTGTACTCGTACTCGTACTCGCGTAGTGTATATATATATATATATATATAATTTTATAAAATGTGCTTATTTCCATTAACATGCAATTGAGTGTCTTAAAGCGTTACATTCAGTTCACACTTATTCATTTGCAAATTTGAAGTATGCCAAAGTATACTTCTTTTTTTACAAGGGCAATTAGTGCATTTATACAGTTAGCTATACACTTTTTGTGGACTTTTTGTTAGCTATACACAGTTGTGGACCAAACTGAAACAACATGCAACATTTTCAACCAAATCTTCGTAAGCCAGCTTATAGTGAGTGTTAGAGCCTCACTGACAAGCTTTGAGAGAGTGAAAAAGCTACAGGTGCATCTTACTCAAAGAAAACAACGACTTTTAGCACTTTGGAGAGACACTGATAGTACCTACACCAGGGTCACTCAGCATTACTGTATTTCTGGAGCTGTGTTACTTATTACATGGACACAGCTTCATCCTGCTGAGAGCTCAAGCTCTATTCTATGGATGGAAAGGACACTGTGAAACTTGGCATTTTAAAACAATATTTGACGAGATGGCTTAGACTCATGGCTCAGAACAACACCTTTATAAAGTTTTAATCATTGGCCCAGATATTTTATATTGTTTCTTTGCTTTTCACCTTGAGAGTATATTAAAATTTATATGATGGTTTTGGGAATTGCCTTATTGTAATAGTTTGAGTTCACCCAGTTGTTCAATATCTTTAATTCAGAGAGAGATGCAGACATTCACAAGTATTGGGATAAGTCCAATAACTCAATTAGTTTATATGCAGGCCTAGTACAGATCCGTGACCTTGAAGAAACTCTTTAAATTCTGCATCATAAACTAAAAGGAAATGGACTCAGGCTTTTACCTTCTTTCCTCATGCCGGCTCTGAAGCACTTTCGAAGTCTGCAGTATCGACATTGGTTTCTTTTGTCTTTGTCCACCACACACTGCCTGCTGAACCTTCACACACAGAGACAGAAGTACACAGGCTACTATAATTCTCACATTTGAAGAGATCCAATGAAACACTTCAGGCCTACCCTGTCATCCACCGAGAGCACACAGAACTCAGGGATGCGCTTCGCCCATTCCACTAGGAGGAGTAGCTGCTGTTTCATGGATTCACACACATCTCCCACGCCGGCTAGCTTCTTGGTGTTGATGTCCCTCATGGGATTCTGGTTCTGCAGATGGCAGAATGACTCTGCTTAATATAAATAGTTCAATTACAGTTACATTTGCATTTGTGCATTTCCCAGAAGCCTTTATCCAAAGCGAATGACAACAGAGAAACATAAGCAATTTGTCTCAGAGTGAGCAGTATTTGCAGTATGCAATGGCACATTTATTAGAAAGCTAGATTAGGACACAAGCTAGAGCAGAGGAGAAATTCAGAGGAGAGAAAGTGGTTTGCAAGTGCATTGGTTTAGGGTTGTGGAGTGTGTTTTCAGCTGCTTCTTAAAAGCTGTAATGGTTTCAGGAGGTTTGGAGGTTGGCAGCTCTTTCCACCAGAGAGGAGCAGAGAGGGTGAAGGTTCTGGAAAGTGATTTTGTGCCTCATTGTGAAGAAACACCAAGCTGAAGATGAAAATGGGCCAGCATGAAAATATTTTTATAACATGATTCGAGCTCAAGAAGCAAAATGTATGAGGCAAAGCTGTGGTTTTGATCCTTTTTTAGATGTATTATCCAAGACTGTAAGGTTCTTCTAAAAACAACAAAAAACAACAAAAAAAAAAACACTTGTTGACAGATTGATTTTCAATTGTTTCATCTTATTTTCATGCTTGTTTTGTCTTATTTTAACCTTTGTGCAGTGTTGAAAATCTGAAACTCATTGCGTTCTTGTCAGAAATGACTGACCTGCTTGTAAATCTCTCATTATACTGTCTGTATTATAATAACCAAATCTTACATTCAATATTTTAAACTTGTTTTCTTTCAATTAGCACAGTTTTTCTGTCTTTTTAAAAATGATTTGTCATAGTTGTTGAGTGAAAAAAGATTTATTGGTGGCTAATTTTGTCAATGCTAACTCAAAAACCGAGGTCCATAAGTTCAGATCACTGAGATCTGTGACCAATCAGTTCCAAAAGGAAATCCAAAATCTGTGTTAATTGAAAGAAAACAAGTTGATAAAAGGATTGAATCCAGGATATAATGCTGGGTTAAAAAGGGACAAACCCAGCAATTGGGTTGTTTTGACCCAGCGGTTGGGTTCAGAAGTACATAGGCGACTACAATTCTCACATTTGAAGAGATCCAGTGAAACACTTCAGGTCATGCTCTTACGCGTTCTGATGAAGGTGGTCACAGATCACAGATTATTTTTTTATAGGACACAGACATTGCGATCATTTATAGATGGGCTCCAGCCACAAAGACAATATATCAGTCAACTCCTGTGGAAATGTGAAATAGCATTTCTGCTGTATAAGCTGGGCTGTGATATTGTACAGGATTGTATAGCCTATATAGAATACAAATGTATATTGTCTGCATTTGAAACACTAATTATTAATGTCATGAAATATTTCTGTAAATTCTATAAAATTCATATTAAATATAAAAATGCTAACTGTATTTTGTAAATGATATTTAGTGTATGATAAAATGTAGGTTTTTTTTATTTAATTTTCTTTTCTTTCTAAAGCTATTTTAGTATTATTTATATACTGTCATATTTTTTTTATAAACGTTTTGAATTAGCTTTTATTTTTATATTTTCAGCTTTTATCTTAATTTTATTTTTATTTTTTAGTAATTGTGTTTTTCTCATTTCTATTAGTTTTTTATTTTATTTTTCCAGTGTTAGTTTACCCGTAATATTTTACATTTGAGTTTTTCATGTTAGATCGTAGCACATGGGTACAAAAATGGCAACCTCTGCTAAAACCAAAATAAATTAAACAAAGCAAATCTTACTGACCAACCTGGCTCCACTCTTATAATCAGACCTCCAGGCCAACAGGCAGGAAAGTCTATAACTCAACAATCCTCACCAGCACGCCCCAGATATTAATAGATCCCCATAAAACATCATGAAACCAAGAGAGACAGTACAACCAAAGAGTGCCAGGAACAAGTGCAGACGCTCCTGGCACGGACAGTGTGTTTGACTGGGAACACAGCAATGATCCCTGACTAACCTGGGGCAAAGAAGACGATGGTTTTGAGACAGACAAATTCAGTGTCTGTGATGTTCAGCTCTTTCAGGGGTCTCACCAGCTCTTCCAGGATACGAGTGGCTACCTTGGACATCTCCTGCTCGGTGCCTCTAACCCAGTGCTGGGTTCTATTTAACCCAGCATATTTTAGAGTATAATAATATAGCACATCAAGATATTTATAAACAATTTTTTTTTTGTAGGCTGGTCATTTTTGCATCCCCAAAATTCCCTAAAAAGTCCAATGCACCAACTATTTTGGAAAAAAGATAACCTTCTCCAGGTCAAAATGACCCGAACACAACATGAGGGTCAAACCAATTGAAGCCATTCGGAGGTCAAATGCCCCCTAATAATTGTCTCACTTAAATCATTGTTTAGGGTTTATACTGTTTACTCTTCAAAGTGTATTGTGTAAGAAAAGGATATTGTTTACAAATGTGAATGTTTTGAAAGTAAGTTCAGCAGAAAGTTCACCTGATGAGTGTAAACCTCTGCCTGCATCAGCACATCAATGGTGAGAGTCCCGGCGCCTTGACCTTCTCTACGACAGCTGATACGGTCACGCTCATTCTGAACAGCTAAGAGACACAAACAAAGAGAAAAATAAAACCAACTTTCCTAATGTGATACCTGATAGAACAGCTTTTATCTTAATTTTATTTTTATTTTTTAGTAATTGTGTTTTTCTCATTTCTATTAGTTTTTTATTTTATTTTTCCAGTGTTAGTTTTAATTCAATTCCAGTTAGTAATTTTAGCCTTTCATCTTTTATTTCAGTTAGTCACCATTTCAACTAATTATGTGTTTTAATTTAATGTTTAATGTTTTGTGTTTCTTCTAATATTTCTACTTTATGCTATTTCAGCTTTATTTTAATTAACAAATATATTTTAGTTAATGATAATAACCCTGGTATCTTGTATTTTCAATCCTATGTTTCATTGTCACCGTTTATGGGATCCTACACTGGCTTTCATTGTGCTTTCAGTGAGCATTAATTAACAAGCAGTGTCTGAAAAGTCATTTGTCTCTAACGTGAACTTTAAAAACCCTACTACATTGCTTACTGCTTTGAATAACAACAATCCATAGAGGCCATGCTAGCATGTTTAGAGATTAATTAAAAGTGATTTAATTAAGCACATATAGTGGATAGTTGTGAATCTGATGGTGAGTTCTCACCTGCATGTGTAGGCATGGTTCTTGCGTACACTCCTCCTGAAGAAGCCCTTGCAGCCATCGCAGCTGGATGCACCGTAGTGTTTCCCTGTAGCTCTGTCTGCGCAGATAGCACAGAGATTCATGCTGCTCTGCTGCGGCGCAGCCACTGGTACAGATGTAGGCACATGTCCTGGAATCAGTGGCTCTTCATTGGAAAAATAATGGACAAAACAGAATTTGACATCTGTAGCATCAAACTGACAACATAGATACTACCGTTTTTTAAATACTTTTGACAGAAGTCTCTTATGCTCACCAAGGTTGAATTTATTTGACAAAAAATTCAGTAAAAACAGTAATATTGTGAAATATCATTACAATTTAAAATAACTGTTTTCTATTTTAATATATTTTAAAATGTAATTTATTCATGTGATGCAAAGCTGAATTTTCAGCATCATTTAACCAGTCTTCAGTATCACATGATCCTTCAGAAATCATTCTAATATGCTGATTTGCTGCTCAGAAAACACTTCTTATTATCATCACAGCAGAAAACAGTTGTGCTGCTTAATATTTTTGAGGAAATGGTGATACATTTTTTTTTCAGGTTTCATTCTTACATATACCTATATATATACATATACATATACATATACATACATATACGTAAATATTAGGGCTGTCAGTAGATTAAAGTTTTTTAATCGAATTAATTACATGTTGTAATCTAATTAATCGCAAAATAAATTTGACTGTGAAAATACCCACAAAAGATTATTTAAAGCTATTTTTGTGTTAAATGAGAAAGTATCAGTTAGACATTACAAACTGTAGCTTTGCAAAGAAATATTTCATTTGATTCAACATAAAATGTATTACACATAAACATTTAGGCTACAACGGCCTAACATAAACTATGGAACACAAAAGAAGATAATTTGAGAAACAACTCGGTATTATTTATTCATACAATGAAAGCCATTGGTAACCAGAACAGCTTTGTTACCAACAGTCTTCAAAATACCTTCTTTTATATTCCACAAAAGATAGGTTTGAAACGACATGAGGGTGAGCAAATAATGACAGAATGTATATATATTTTTTGGGTGAACTATCCCTTTAATGTT